TATACTTGCCGCGCTAGACTTGGTGCTGATTCTTATTACCCAAGATATACTGAATCTACTGCTCATTTGTCGGTCAGTGCTACGCCTTCTCATTTACCCAACCTAGATAAAGATGTTAGTCTTCTCCTTCCTGATCCTCCGGGTGGCCTTAGAGTCGATCACAAGGGTGATACATGGGTAGCTATGCGTTGGTACCCTGGAAACTCTACTGCCAATGGTTATCGAGTAGAATATGCTGAGTATGCTGGATTTGGAGGATGGCAGATATCTGTCCCATACACGACTTCAGTTACAGAGCGGATAGATGATCTTAATCCTGATACTGGCTATTATTTTCTCGTTCGTGGAGTAAATGAATTCGGATTTGGCAGATCAAGCTTGCTGGCAGATGTTGTCTACACAAATCCTATGCGTTCAACTGGCCAAAAACGCAATAAGATTCCCGCAGAAACCATGGCAAAAATGCTCAACGAGGTTATATTCAGTAGGATTTTGTTAGAACCGACTTCATACAATACTTTGATTGCCACATGGATAGTATGTGCCCCAAAAGCAACTTTGATACAAATCACTGGTTTTCGCCTTAAATATCACGCGGTTCACTTGTCTAGGTGTTTAGCCACTTTGTATCCATCAGAAATAAATGCCTACGAGACCTACCCATTCTCAAGATCGCCCTCGCATATTGTTGGTGACGCCAGATGCCCTCCGGCAAATTCCCCTCTATACACTCAATTGTATAGTTCCTCTGATGGGTCACTTTCTTCTGTGCACGCGCCCTGTAGTCTAGAGGGTATTCGTGACTTGTTAGAGAAAGATGCAATGATTGATGTAGCCTCAATGCAGATGATAATAAATTCTACTGAACAACTCTTTGAAATTTCCCAGGACATTTCGCCTGACAGCCCACTGGTTAGGACTGCTATCCATAATTTGCATCCCTTCACTTGTTACGAGGTCTCGATTGAGCCGATGCATAGCCATGAAATCGGCCCTCTGTATGGCCGCGCTAGCCGCTCCAGCACCGGACTCACCTACGGCTCCAGACCTTCTGCTGCGCCTCGTGTCGTTAGCGCTCAATGGCTGCCGTTCTCTGCCGAGGCCAACGAACCCCCGCAAATTGAGCTAATCTGGGTCCCACCTCATCCTCAAATGTTAAACGGGGTGGTGAATGGCTATTCTTTGCGAATTCTCAACGAGCTTGCAGGATTTATTCGTAACATTTCTGTGAGTCTGGAATATGGCTGATTAAATTACATTCTGCTTTGACCAAGTTAATTTGCATATTTATTTTTTGCCAATTTTGATG